GCAGGAATGATGTTGGACTCCAGCTCATTCTCAAAGTCTCAAGCTATCTTTCTCATGCCTCAAGCTCTCCTCTCTCATGAGAGGGATGTGGCTCTATTTATAGAGCTTTGAATGCAGTTGATGTAGGAATATGAATCACTTTAATTGAATGGCTTAAAGGGCTTCCATCGATCAGACGAAATTTGATAGACATTTGAGTGTTCCAATGATGTCGAAATTGAGCAGTTTTTGGCTTGTTGGATTTGTCTTGTTAAGTCGATTGGACCATGAACTTGTCAAATTCGACATCCGTTGGACTTTCCAAATGTGTCTAAAAAGCTTTCTAACATGGTTCAACGTCTTGATCAGACTTGATTTGGTTTAGATTGGATAAACTTTGGTATCATCGAGTCCGTCTCATCGAGCCGATCGATTTTACAATAAGTTTGCTAAAATCAGAGCTATGGAAGACTTTTTATGGAGGTTTGAACATTTCTTGCTCAAAATATGGTCATGAGCTCCATGTCGTGCCTCAAGATTCGCGTCGAATAATGGAATTTTTTTTATGGCCTATCAATAGCGGACAAATTTTTAAAAACTAAATACTCAATGATTATTATGTAATAATACCTATAACACTTAAATGAAGTTACATGTGAACATCAAGTAGAAATGCGAAAGCTTTAAAGAATAAAGACCACCATAGTAGAAGACAAATTTATAAAAATCATAATACTCAATGATTAATATTTCATAATACGTAAAATAATTAAGAGAAATTTACATGTATATAACACCCAGTTCTTATGTATTTACATATCTCACTCCTAAACTTTCATACTTGCATATATGTATGACTAGTATTTTCATGTATAGATTTAAAACACTAGTCTTATATATGTAAATATGAAAGTTTAGGTGTGAGATATATAAATACATAAGAATTGTGTACGATGCATGTAAATGCCACAGTAATTAAATAGTGTTTTTTTTCTTTGAAGTGAATGAACTTCTTGTTTGTTTTCTCCTCGAACATATTCCTCCTATTTTTTTTTCATCAAGCATGTAACATAAGCTCCATAAGGCATCCTTTATTATGACCCATAACATAAAGTATACATGGATTGAGTTTCATGACATAAGATTTATTAACTGAACATATAAATATCATCAACTAACTTAGATAAGCATGTTTCCAAGTTTAAGTTTATCCATACATTTAACAATCAAAGTCACCATCCAACATGTGTAAAATATTAATTAAAAGGAAAATGATCTTTCTTGTTATAGAAGGATAAAAGTTTATCCTTTTGAGTGTGTGCGTGTAATATTTAAGGGGATTTACATGCTAACAATAATACCTAAACTTTAGTATTTACACCCTGGTTTCTATATATATATATATATATATATATATATATATAAACAATGCTTATGCTCCTTACCTTAGCTTTCATTTATTATGATCTCAACAATGTCTCTCATCATGTCGTCACAATGCCACCCATGACCACCTCAACAACATGTTCAACAATGCCAGTGTGTTGGACCTGACCGATGGCATCTTCGACCCATCTATAACGTTGCATCAATGATGTTGACTTTATGCTTGCTTATAAATCAACTTTAATGAATCATCATCACCCACAACCACGTATATAAATGTTAAATACATCATCAAACATACTTCATCCACATTTTTCACCTCCCTTAATTGAAGTTTATCATGAATTCGCCATCTATTTTGATAGTTACAAGCTAGTTATGATTATGTAGTTTACTAAAACACCTTCATTAAACCTTACTATAGTCTCACTCAAATCTATATAAATACTGGTAAGAGAGTGAGCTTGACATAGCAAATCATTTCAACACCAATATATAGACTCTTAAAAAGTAATCTTATGAAATCTCATTATTTTCATGTCACCCATGGATAGATTTATAATCAACAAAGGCCTTCATGGATTATGTAGTAAATAATGCATATTACTTATATTAAGAATCAAAATATACATTTGTATAAAATTTACTTAAGTCATTTGAAGAAAAAATATATATATACATTAAGATTTATTAAAAACTTACTTGAGATCCTAAAATCAACGCTAAAATCACATCAGAGTTGTAACAAATCATATCATGAACTTTATAATAAAATATATGTCATAATACCAAAATCCAAAATTACTAAAAATTTCAATAAATTCTAACATAAAATTCATGCCTGCAAATTAATTTTTTTTTTATTATTAAATTTGAAATTTTAACTATTTAAAATCATGAAATATCATATAATCTCACAAAAAAAAGGAAGATTTGCGTACACACCACTAAATTCTTATATATTTACTTATCTAAAAAATAAACTTCAAAATCCCTCCCTCCCTCCCTCCCTCCCAATTAGGATGTTCGCCAACAGCCCGTGTTCGGCTCGTTAATTTTGTTCGATAAGTAAACGAGCCGAACACGAACTAAGATGTGTTCGTTCGTGTTCGGCTCGTTTTGACTCGAAATACTACTCATCAAGTTTATATATATATATATATAAAGTAGTATTTTTAAAAAATCTAATTGACTACAAAGCTACAAAGATTTATAATCAATTAAAATATTGATTGAGAAAATAGAATAAAAATTATTAAATTAGATTCAAATGATGTTTTAATATAAATAATAATTTTTAAATATTGCTCAAACCCTTATTATTTTATGGCTACATAATTAGGGTTTGTTAAAAGAACTCTTTGTTCGTGAACAACTCTTGTTTGGCTCGTTAAGCAAACGAGCCGAACACGAACAAACTTTTTGAGCTCGAAATATAAACGAGTTCGGCTTGCTTACACCCCTACTCCCAACACATTTTTTAAAAAAGTTATAATTATAAAACATTTGATGTGATGTGAAAATTCTAAATGATATACATCAACAACAAGCCTTTGTCCTATTAAGTGGGGTCACCGACAAGTATCATTTTTCTCTATTGTGTTCTACCGAGCATTGTATTTTCAATTAATTCTATTAAATTAATTAAGATTATTTTTATATAATATGCCCAAGTCTTTTGATGTCTATCTCTACCTTTACTAACATGAGTTAAATCTAAAAAATCTACTCTCTTAAGTGGGTCATCAGGTAGTCGACAATTAATGTGATCACCATCTAACGCGACTCTCTCTAATCTTGTATGTCACTGGAGCTACTCAAACCCTTTCATGAATATATTTGTTTTCCATTCTCTAAGTGTAAAGCCACTCATCCACCTGAACATTCTTATCTTAACAACACTTAAATTTTACGTCTTTATTTTACAGGCCGACAATCTCCAACATAAATCATTGCAAGTCTCACCACCATTTTACAAAATTTTTCCTTTTAAGTCTAAACAAGACTTTTCTATCACACCTGATGCATTCCTCAACTTTAACCTTTCAACTTTAATTCTACGAATAACATCATCATCCATATCACAATCACTTCGAACAATGACCCCAAAATATCTGAAACATTCATTCATTTTAATGACTTGATCAACCATTATTACAATCCCGCCACAAGAACTACTACTACTAAAATCACATTTCATGAATTCAATTTTTGATCTACTCAAATGAAAACCTTTAGACGATAAAATTAACATCCATAATTTAAAATTTTCTTCAAGAAGGATATCATCAACGAAAACATACACCAAGATACATCCTCCTATAAATGTCCTGTAAGAGCATTCATAACCAAAACAAAAAGGAAAGCATGGGCTTAAAACCGATCTATAATGCATACAACTTAAATATGAAAATACTCGATCAATCCTCCTTATGTTCGAATGCAAGTAACAACTTTAATATAGTATCTTTAATGGCCTGAATATAAGTAATATTAACACCTTTTTTTTTTCTAAATCAACAAAATCTATATGATATAAATATAAAAAAAGATTTAAAAATAAGTAGTTGATACATAAATACAACAGAAATAGATGGTATATCTTCTAAATAAACCACATCCAAGCGACTCAGAAGAGCCGAGCTGCCGATCCTTCCCCCGAAGTTCTCAGATCTCGAGACCCAAATTCCCGCGACGATCGTAATGGATCTGCGCGCCCATTACCCGATCCCGTGGGAAGCTTCTGGTGGGAGGGATCTCTGAGCAGCGGGATTCTGCGGGGAAGAAGAACAGGAGGAGGAAAAGCGAGCCCTAATTAGTAGATGATGGGGAGACCTGACGCTGCTCTCCTGCTCATTGTGCTTGTCGCTTGCTTTTCGAGAGCAAAAACTGATGGGTTGGATCACAAATATAAGGAGGGGGATCGCGTTCCTTTGTATGCGAACAAAGTCGGCCCGTTTCACAATCCAAGGTAATCCTAAGATTTAGAATTTTTTTTTCTTTTCAATTTTAGTTTTATTGATCTTTTATGTTTTACTTTGTATTTTTATCATGGATCTTCTTCCTGGATTATTGATGGATGTTTGATTCTCGTTCTTGTTTTAGGGCTGTGTGGTTGCAAGTTTTATCCAGGATTCATGCTAAATTGACCAGGATCTAATCAAATTTAACTTCTGTCAGGCCAAACAGCTTTTCAAAAATTAAATAAATCTTAATTGATTATATTCTGCTCCTCCATTATGTTCTTACCCCTTCTTAAACTTACTCTCCATCTTGATGGTTATTTTTTTTTCAGAATAAGGACTGTTTAAGTAAGACCTACACTCCTGCTTTACAGAAGTCTCATATACAACAACAATAACAATAAAGTCTTAGTCGGCTACCTGAATCATTTTTCTCGATTGTGTCCTATTTAGTGTCATATTTTCATTTAGTTATAATAAATTAAGACCATTTTTTATACAATAAGCCCAAATCTTCCTAGGTCTACCTTTGTCTTTCTTAACATAAGTCGAATCTAAAACATCTACTCTCCTAATCGGATCATCAGATGATCGACGTTTGATGTGACCAAACTATCTAATACGACTCTCTCTAATTTTGTCTGTCACTGGAGCTACACCAACCCTATCCCAGATATATTCATTTCACATTTTGTCTCTAAGTGCAAAGCTCTAAGTATTCTACTAATAACATCCCCATCTATATCACCATCACCTTAAACAATAGACCCGAGATATCTAAACCGTTTACATTTTTACCAACATTCAGCGCCATAGAGCATTGCAGGTCACAAAAGGCCAGAAGCATTCCTCCATTTCAACCAACCAACTTGAATTCTACTATTAACATACCCATCTATATCACCATCGCTTTGAACAACAGACCCGAGATATCTAAATCGTTCACACCTTTTAATAATTTGATCACCCAAAGTTACACTTTTGTCACTAGAGCTACTACTATTAAAATTACATTTTCATGTATTCAGATTTAGTTCTACTCAAATGAAGGCCTTTAGACTCCAATGTAGACATAGGACCTCCATAGTTCAAGTTTTTCCTGGGCTTTTTCTCTCGTCTTATCCACGAGAAGGATATAATCAGCAAAAAACATACACCAAAGTACATCCTCCTGTAAATGTCCACTTAGACCATCCATAAAGCAAAAAGATATGGGCTTAAAGCCAATCCTTGATGTAATCCAACAAAAATAGGAAAATAGTTGGTCAATCCTCCTTCAATTCGAGCACAAGTAACAACTCTAGTATACATATTTTTAATGACTTGAGTTTAAGTCAAATCAACACCTTTCTTCTCAAGAACGCTCCAAAGGGCATCTCTTGGAACCTTATCGTAAGCTTTTTCTAAATTAAAAAAAAAAATCAAATGTAGATCCTCCTTATTATCTCTGAACTTCTCCATCAAACCTCTTAATAAATGTATAACTTCCATGGTAGACCTGCCGGACATAAAACTGATTAGAGTATGAGAAATCTTTGTAATACGTCTTAACTTATGTTTCATTACCCTCTCCCATAATTTTAAAGTATGACACATCAACCTAATTCCTCTATAATTTGCACACTCTTGTGCATCCCCTTTATTCTTAAAAATGAAGACCAAATTACTCTTTCTCCACCCCGTAGACATCTTTTTAGTTTTTAAAATAATATTAAAGAGTTTAGTAAGCCAAGAAACTCCCAAATCTCCTAAAGTAAGCCAAGAAACTCCCAAATCTCCTAAAAATTTCCACACTTCAATTGGGATATCATCAGGTCCTACAAACTTTTTACCCTTTGTTTTCTTTAAAGCCTATTCAACTTCTTTTTTATTAATGCGGCGGTAAAAATGAAATATTTTATTATTATTAGCGATATTAAGATTACTAAGGTCGATGGTATTTTCAGAAACTTCATTAAAAATTTTATCAAAATAACTCATCCACCTATGTTGGATATCATTTTCTATGAAAAGAACTTTTTTATTTTCAGCTTTAATATACTTTATTTGGATTAAATCTTTACTTTTCTTTTCTATTTGTTTGACTAATTTATACAGATATTTTTCACCCTCGTCAGCGTCTAATCTATCATAAAGATCACTAAAAGCAGAATTTTTAACGTCACAAATAATTCTTTTAGACTCCTTGCGAGTCGTTAGATATTTTTCTCAGTTTTCTAAGTTTTTACAACAACAACAACAAAGCCTTAATCCCACTACGTGGGGTCGTCTGCATAAATCCTTTTTCTGCATTACGTCCTATTTAGTGTCATATTTTCATTTAGTTCTAGTAAATTAAGATCATTTTTTATAGAATAAGCCCAAGTGTTCCTAGGTCTACTTTTGCCTTTCTTAACACAAGTCGAATCTAAAACATCTACTCTCCTAATCGGATCATTAGATGGTCGACGTTTAATGTGACCAAACCATCTAAGACGACTTTCTCTAATTTTGTCCGTCACAGGAGCTACACCAATCCTATCATGGACATAATCATTTCACATTATGTCTCTAAGTGTAAAGCCTCTCATCCACCTAATCATTCTCATCTTGGCAACACTTAACTTATTATTATGCTTCACTTTTAAAGGCCAACATTCAGCGCCATAGAGCATTGCAGGTCTCACCACCGTCTTATAAAATTTTCCTTTCAGTCTAAGCAGTACTTTGTTATCACACAAAAGGCCCGAAGCATTCCTCCATTTCAACCAACCAACTTAAATTCTATTATTAACATCCCCATCTATATCAGCATCGCTTTGAACAACAGACCCAAGATATCTAAATTGTTTATCATATATTCAGTTTTAGTTCTACTTAAATGAAGGTTTTTAGACTCCAATGTAGACCTCCATATTTCAAGTTTTTCCTGGGCTTTTTCTCTCGTTTTATCCACGAGAAGGATATCATCAGCAAAATGCATACACCAAGGTACTTCCTCCTGTAGATGTTCAGTAAGACCATCCATAACTAAAGCAAAAAGATAAGGGCTTAAAGTCGATCACTGATGTAATCCAACAAAAATAGGAAAATATTTGGTCAATCCTCCTTCAATTTGAACACAAGTAACAACTCTAGTATACCTATCTTTAATGACTTGAATATGACCCATATCAACACCTTTCTTCTCAAGAACTCTCCAAAGGATATCTCTTGGAACCTTATCGTAAGCTTTTTCTAAATCAATAAAAATCAAAATATAATTTGGAAAATTATGAGGATAATCTTAGTAGGTTTCCTTTGGCCAGACAAGTCTATGAAAAATATTATGATCTTTCGAATTGTTTTGTACATTTCTATATTTAATCAAATATATAAACCTTGTGATAATTTATGTAAATTATACACTTATTGAAATTTGACAAAATCAGTTCCACATTGTGCATAAAAATCATATTTACTTACTGTAAAAGTTAAAAATTATTTAGCTTAATTTAAGCACTAAAATTAACTTTTAAAGTAACTTTGTATTTTTGTACAAAAATAATTATCATAAATTAAATAAGCTTAGAAAAATCATGAAAAATAGTTTTATAATCTATTTTTTTGAAAAAATTTCATTTTCAAAGTGTATTTTGAATTAAAATAATTAAAATAATCAAAATTTTTAAAACTACAAAAAATGGTTCAAAATGTGTACAAGCTTTCCCTGATCACTTAGAATTCATTATGATATTTTTCCTAATTTTTCTAAGTTAAAAATAAAATTTAAAAGCTTAAAAGTGAATTTTCCTTATTTTCTCATTAAATAATTATAATAAATAATAAGAAAAGTATTTTTTGATTTTCATCTTTAATACACTTTACTTGAGTCAAATCTTTACTTTTCTTTTCTCTTTGTTTGGTTAGTTTATACATATTTTTCACCCTTCTTAGTATCTAATATATTATAAAGATCATTAAAAGTATAATTTTAAGCGTCACAAATTGTTCTTTTAAACTCCATGTGGACTGTTTGATATTTTTCCCAGTTATCCAAGCTTTTACATTTAAACCAATTTTTATAACATAACTTCTTATATTTTATTTTTTCTTGCACACAATTATTCCACCACCAATTATTTTTATTTATAATTTTTTTTTTCTTTTAATTCCCCGAGCACATCTTTTGTTACTTTTTTAATAGTATTTGTTATTTTATCCCACATAATATTTGCTTCTTCATGAACATTCCAAATTTTGAAATCTTGAATTTTACTTATAAAAATAATTTTATTTGTGTTTTTTCGATTTTCCATCTAATTCTACGATGATAAGTCCTAGTATTCTTTATTTTACAACTCTTCATCTTAAAATCTAGAACTAACAAATGATGTTGGGTACTTCAATTCTTGCTTGGAATGACCTTACAATCTTTACAATCTCGATGATCTCTTGTTCTCATAATAAAATAATCAATTTGTGTTTTATTAGATCCACTTAAGATGCTCATAAGATGCTCATATCTTTTCTTGAATAAAGTATTAATAATAACAAAATCATATGCTAAAACAAAATCTAAAATAGTTCTACCTTCTTCGTTAGTTACTCAAAAATCGTTGCCACCATGAGTATTTCATGTCCATTTAAATCTCCTTCAATAAAAATTCTTTCTTTAAGAGGTATCATTTGTATTAAGTCTTCTAAGTCATTCCAAAAATTATCTTTAGACCCTACCCTGTATATAAACCTACTTGAGGAGCATAAGCACTTATAATATTAAAAATCTTAGTATCAATGATAATCTTAAGGGTTATAATTCTATCTCCAACTCTATTAATTTTTACAACATTATCTTTCAAACTCTTATCTATAATTACACCTACACAATTTTTAATGCGACTCTTACCGGAATACTAAAGTTTGAAACCTAAATTATCATTCTGATATATAATACTTTTGCAAAGTTTACATACATACCAATCAAATCTTATGTATTTGTATGTCTAACACCTATACTTCAAATTTAACTTGCATTCCACCTAGCCTATGGATGAAAATGTGCATTTCACTTTTTTAAAGTTAAAAATGGTGGTAATTTTTTATGTAATTTGAAAGATTTGGATGGTATAAATGTATAAAGTAAAGTTTATGTGTTAGATATGTGAATACATAGGAATTGTATGGTATGTATGTAAATGCCCCCATAGTTTTTCTGTTTTTTTTTTAAATTTGGTCATATATATTAATTCCATCTCCTATATTAATTATGGTTTTTTTTTTTTTTCCTGAGATGCAGTGAGACCTACCGGTACTACGATTTACCATTTTGTAAACCAGGTCTGCCTTTTCAAATAGCTGAATTTTAGTTGTTTTTTCACTTTGATAACTAAATGTTATTTCTAATGGTGAATGAACACAGATCACATTAATGAGAAGAAGGAAGCTCTCGGTGAAGTTCTAAATGGCGATCGATTGGTTGATGCACCATATGAGTTAAACTTTCGCAAGGACAAGCAATCTGAGAATCTTTGTAAAAAAACTTTGTTGGAGGAAGATGTTGTCAAGACTAGAGAAGCCATTTCGAGAGATTACTATTTTCAAATGTTCTATGATGACTTGCCTTTTTGGGGATTTATCGGACATTTTGATGAGAATATGTCCGATCCGAGGGAGAACAAGTACTTTCTATACAAACACATTCATTTTCAAATTCTCTACAATGATGACCGTGTGATCGAGATAAGTGCGATCTCTGACCCAAACATATCTATAGATATCACAGACGATAAGGAAGTTGATGTTGATTTCTTGTATTCGGTTTCGTGGAAGACAACTAATATCCCTTTTGAGAAAAGAATGGATAAGTACTCGAAACATTTAGAAATTCACTGGTTTTCGAGAATAAACTCGTGTGTCACCGTCGTCCTTCTTACCGGTTTCCTTGCTACCATTCTTATGAGAGTACTGAAAAATGATTTTGTTAGGTAAGAAAAGTGTCTTTAAGATGAATCTTTATTACACTGTATGCATGTTTAAGCTTGGGTGCTTTTTTTGAAGATATGCTCGCGACGAGGAGTCTCCAGAAGACGAAGAGGAGACCGGATGGAAGTACATTCATGGAGATGTCTTTAGATTTCCTAAGCACAAGTCCTTGTTCTCGGCTTTAATTGGATCTGGGACCCAACTCCTCGCCTTGTAAGACTCATCAACTTTCCTTAACTTGAAACATTGAACTTTCCTTGACAACATCTACCATTTTCTTCTTGGGAAATTCATATATGTAGCACACAATTCTTATGTATTTATATTTCTCACACCTAAACTTTCATATTTACATGCATAGTACTTTGGTGCTCTACACCCATGCATGAAAATGTGTTTTTCAAATTTAAAAAGTGATGATAGTGCTATTTTTTTATGTGATATTAAAGAACTCAGTGCCATGAGTGTATATATGAAAGTTTAGATGTGGGGCATGTAAATATATAAGAATTTTGTGCTATGTATGTAAATGCCCTTTTCCCTTTTCTTTTTTGTCGCCAGAGCTACGTTCATCTTCCTTCTGGCACTCGGTGGTGTGTTCTACCCATACAACAGAGGAGCTTTCTTCACAGCTGTTGTAGTTATATATGCCCTCACCTCTGTTATTGCTGGTTACACTGCCACCAAGATGTATTTGCAGCTAGAAGGAACCAACTGGGTATAAGATTTCTTGAGATTCAAATTTTATATGAGAAGTTTACATAATCACTACACAATTCTTATGTATTTACATTTTGAATACCCAAAGTTTGCTTTTTGCCCTTATAACATCTTAAACCTATGCATGAAAAGGTGCATTTCATTTCTAATAAGGTAGTGATGGTGGCATTTTATACTTTGCTTAAGTATAACTTGTTCTAAGTCTTCTCCATTTGGTTACAGGTGAGAAATCTTTTACTGACATGCTTCCTGTTCTGTGGACCTCTTTTTTTGACATTCTCTTTCGTTAACACCGTAGCCGTAGCGTACAGTGCAACGGCGGCCTTACCTTTCGGAACTATTATGGTGATTCTTCTGATATGGATTCTTGTGACGTTGCCGTTGCTCGTATTGGGTGGTGTCGCCGGAAAGAACAATAGAGTAGAATTCGATGCTCCGTGTCGCACGACGAAATACCCGAGAGAAATCCCTCAACTTCCTTGGTACAGAGATACAATACCTCAAATGTTGATGGCGGGATTCCTTCCCTTCAGCGCCATCTACATCGAATTGTTCTATATATTTGCAAGCATATGGGGTCACAAGACCTACACTATATACGGCATTCTCTTCGTAATCTTTGTAATCCTTATCGTTGTTACGGCGTTCGTTGCTGTCGCGTCAACGTATTTCCAACTAGCTGCCGAAGATCATGACTGGTGGTGGAGGTAAGAGCTTTGAATATGGCATTTAACATAAGGGGGCATTTACATGCATAACAACCAATTCCTATGTAGCATTACTTATTTATATTTATACCAGTTATATTTTAATACCACATAAAATATACAACAGTTTTAACTTTCAAAAAGTGAAATACACCTTTCCATGCATAGGTAAGGTTAGGTGTTGGATATTTAAATACATAAGAATTGAGTGGTATATATGTAAATCTTCCTATATAATTCTGAAATACCACTAATTCTAACTTCTTTGAAAGAAATATACCTTTTGACGCACATGTTTTGATGTGATTGTAACACTAAAGTATGATATGTGTAAATATCAAACTTTATCTGCTATATATGTAAATACATAAGAATTGTATGTTATACATGTAAACTCTAAGAAACCATTGAACCTCTTTCTTCTTGATGCAGGTCTGTTTTCTGTGGTGGCTCCACTGGCTTATTTATTTTCTTCTACTGCCTTTACTACTATCATGTTAGAACAGACATGTCTGGCTTAATGCAAGCATCAGTTTTCTTTGGATACATGGCCTGCATCTGCTATGGCTTCTTCCTCATGCTCGGCACCGTCGGATTCTGTGCTTCACTGTTTTTCGTCCGCCGTATATACCGCTCGATCAAATGCGAATAAAACTCGTCACAGTATTGAGTAAACTTTAGATTCACATTCAGTGTTTCTCCATTGTAGTTATAAGGGGAGGTCTAATAAATTGGTTTCTTTAGTTCTTCAGCAAAATATTACTAGTCTGGGAGTAATGGTATGTTTTGCTTTAAATAAATATGATATTTATTTGTTGTGCAAGTTTTGTGAGTTTTATTCGGATCAGATGATCCATTCTTAGAATGTATCCAATTTTGGTTGTTCTACCTTTTTTTTTTTTTTTTTTTTTTTTTTTTTTGGTAGGCTAGAGTGCTCGAACCCAAATATAAATAAAAAATTGATCAAAATCATTAAATGTAACAAAAAAAAATCATTAAATGTAACCAAATAAATAAATAAATAATAATGAATATTCAACATGTATAAATTACCAATTTTCTTCAATCATTTGTATTGAGTATTGACTAGTGGTATTTTTTATGTGCTATGAAAGAATTATTGGTATAAATGTGAAAAATAAAGTTTAGGCGTTAGGTGTGTAAATACGTGAAAATGTGTATTTCACTTATAAAAAGATAGTCATGGTAGTATTTTTGATATGATGTTACAGGTTTCAGTGGGATGCAGGTAAATATGAATGTTTCGGTTTTAGATATGTAAACACATAAGAATTGTGTGGTATATATGTAAATTCTCCTAGAAAAAATTGTAATATCATAAGAACAAAAAAAGGCACATCCTCTAACATCATCAACATAATGACAGAAAAAAGTTGAGAAAGCCTCCAGTCGGTAGAAGCTTACCAGGAATATCATGACACGAAACATCCATTATTCATATTTTACTTCCTAAACAATCCAGAAGCCTGAAGGGTTTTACAGTAGTCGGTGATCACAGGAGATTTCTTCAATATGCCCCAAATCTTAGCAGAGTTCCTCAACCAATCACGTTCTGTCACAGGCTTTGCAAATGGATGGGGTTCCATTGATAATATCTGTGTAAAAAAAATCAGTTAGATCCTTGGAAATGGCTAATGATTGAGTACAAAGATTCTGAATTCATCTGCCAATTATATTATTAGAAAACAGTAGATGACTGTTGATTATGAATATTTAATTGAAGAGATATTTACATACATACCGCTCAATTCCTATATAATTATATATGTCCAGCTCCTGAACTGAGATTTTTACACACATACCCACTTAAACTATGCATGAAAAGGTGTATTTCACTTTTTCAAAGTTAAAATGGTGGTATTGTTGTGATATGAAGAATTTGGGGAGTACAAATGTAAAAAAAGTAAAGTTTTGGTATTTGATATGTAAATACATAGGAATTGTGGGGTATGTATGTAAATGCCCCAAAATTAAAGGCATTACCTGATCACAAAGTTTTCCCATCATGCAATTGAAACTCTCATATTGAGGTTTCTGTGAGTCATCTTGGAGTTTCAGAGGAAGAAATATTAAGTCTGCCCCCATGAATTTGGACTCTTTAGCTTTGTTAGGTGGAGAAAGAGAAGAATCATTTTGCTCATTTTTCAATTCATTTGACTTGTTTATATTATTGAATGATGATGAGCTGAAATATTTCAGGAGAGCCTTCCTCAAGAGCATAGTGTTTGAAGGAGAAAGCTCAAGGTCCCGCAATCTGCACTGGGTAAAGAGAGTTTAGGAGAAATCATGAATTGCGTAGTACTTGATAAATAAAACAAAAAGACTACAAAATTGCATTAAATTAAATAAAGCATGGCGTGGAATGAAAAAAGGAATGATAATTACAAAGGATACCATCAAATGAAAGAAAATATTATAAAACTGAAATTATTTGAAGCAGTTAATGAAGATATGTTATCTTTCTATTTCTTTTCTTTTTCTTTTTCTTTTTGGTTAGAGGCCAAAACAAAACGCTAGTAAAAATGCTCAAGCTTCCTTTACTTCGGGACATTATCTCCAGGAAATCACCATGGTACTACAGAGTATGATGTAAACATAGCTAATAATTGCATATCTAAAATATATGACTACAATAACTTTCACAAAGTTGTAGAAAAAAATTAAAATTATTCGAAAATATGAAAAAAATAAATAAAATAAAATAAAAGGTTAACATGACTCTTACTTGGTATGTATGAATACAAGAGTCGCTAGATACTCATCACTTGGAGCTAGAAGGTTGCCATTATTCTCCTTGTCCAGAAAAGAAGTAGAACCCTGTGTTTGACCAGTGGCCAGAGTGGAGGGATCTGGTATATTATGCTTCAGCAAGTCAACCTATTATAAAAGCATTAATTGCAATAGGTAAGATAAAACTGAAATACTCGATTTAGAATACAAGCACGAGGGTTAGAGAGAAATACCTTTCATGATAACATAAGGAAAAAGGCATTATGTGCAAGATCATGAAGAGCACAACAAAGAAAATTTGCCATTTCTTAAAGAGGGTAGAAGAAAAACATTGAAAAAATAATAATTTACCTCTTGTAAAAAAATAAACAATGGAACCCATAAGCTCATGTCACTTGTGTTGCTTATAATTGATTTAGTGATAGCAAATCTTGTATTAATGTCCTCTAATGGATATAACTCAAGACGACAAAACCATTGAATCTTGATCAGCTTTGTCGTAATTACCTCATAATATGCTCTGAGTTGCAATGTATCTTGCTCGCCTAAATCTAAGTCATTATAGAAATCGGTTCAAACAAGAATCCATCGCAAAAAAATAAATAAATAAATAAATAAATAAATAAAACATCATAGAGACTCAATTTACCTTTAATTAAAAAATTCTCCCACAATTGAGCGAGGCAATTAACAACAATGACCTAGGCCCAAGGGAAGTTATGAATGAGGAATATAGGCATTTATGAGAGTAAAATCGTTGGATTGTGCATTATCAACATCTATTCTATCTTGGAAAAGTCAAGCCCTAAAATTCATATACATACAAAGCCGGCAAGCTATTAGTAAAACATCTAGTCATCATACCTTGGCTCTAACCCACTTTCTTCATCATACTTGCACATACATTTTGTAGACACATTATCAGTGTATCTTTTGGCACTTTTTGTACAAACCCAAACCACCAAGATATATTTTTCTATTATCTTTCCTTCAATAGGTAGTATTTGTCCTCCTAATACAATCCTATATTCTCTCAAAAATTCATGCTAATATTCTCATTTCAGACCACACGTAATATATTCACTTCTTTGCAGCCAACACTCAATCCATGTCACCATACAATATGTCTACTAAAAAAGCGAGCATGCATGTTACCATTCAAGCAAACAAATAAGTGATAAGCCAAGAATAGCATTCATATCTTAACTAAACACAAAGAAGTGCAAACCAAATAAAACCACACTTCCATGAGGACAACAAACAGAATAGCTGCTTCCAAAGAAACGAAAGTTTGTTTGTATCTCATGCGTAGAATAAGTGAGTTTTAAGAGGAAAAAATAGCAGAAAATGATGCTTTAATATAATACTCACTGTAAGCATATGCTGCCATATGCTAAAGTCATGAATTCCTTCTGATACAACCAACAATATGTTACATACGGAAGCCAGGAAAACACCGAGCTATGAAGGTTCTTGCATGTATGAAAAGAGGATAAAGTTAGGTCAGATAAATCGAAAGGATTGAACCTGCACGTAAAATTAAGAGCATCAAAATCACTTTTTATATGAATCACCTGTATACCCATTAACTCATGAGCTAAATCGGCTGATAGAGACTCTCCATTCAGCACAGAAATTGCAGAAGTTCCATCAGGTCTCATCATATCAACCAGAACAGAGGGACTGAATATTGGCTGCAAATGATAAGCAATCTATTACAACATCAAAATGATGAAAAATATTGAAAGAATGAAGCAACAGAAGAATCCAAGCATCTCAAACTTATTATTTAGCAGGAGCTCTCAATAGAGCGCATTCACGGGCAATTGGCTAGAGATGTTCCATCAGTTGAACAACTAGCCTATGCTATTCATGACACTTCCTCCAAATTGTTTTGTCAGTGTATAGGAAATTGAAAGTTACTACTTCCTTTTTCTGTTCGCAGTTATGAAGGTTCTATTCTTTTATATTAGCGTGAAGATATTGTCTCTTGATCATGTCATCATCATGTACATAGCATTATAAAGGATTAGGAGCATGAAGAAGCGCACACTGCAGTTACAATCAATGATATCATCCTTCTAGGTTAGATTACAATTTGACCAACAGGAGCTCTCATAGATTGCATTTTTTAGCACGTTCATGTAACAACACATGGCTTGTATACAGTATTTAGGATATTCATATTAGTAAACACGTGGAATTCATGCTATTCTTATATTAACCCAAGGTATTTCTCTGTCACATTGTCACTTTTGTCACACCTAGATCATTGATCATTGATGATTCATCCCTACATGCCTATCTGACTAGAAAAACTAACTAGCCTGCATGCATAAATAGTATTCGAAGAGACTGGACCATACCCAAATTCCTTGGTCCTAACTTGTGTTTGACAAAGCCCAACTTGTGGGCATCCATTTTGGCCCAACTTGTGGGCATCCTTTTTGGCCCAACTTCAGCACATATATTGGGACCAATATCACTTGTTCACAGCCTCACACTAAAACCACAAATTCTATAGTTGGGCCCAAATCAATGAAGATATCTCATCTCCATCTTTAGACTAATGAAATTCATTTAAATTTACCCACATTTTTCTAAGGAGCCATCTAAGTAAACCACACTTACTTCGATAAAGACCTTACCAGTGTTTTAAGTAGGCTAAATACACTTTTTCACTCATCTACGCCTTAGTGGACCACTTCCACTTAGACATTCCATTGCTTTCTCAATACATCACATTTACTTGGCCTAAGAGATTTACATCTCAAATGGACCAAATTTGTTTAACACTTTTAGTGAGACCAAATTTACTAACAAGCCCCTTGGTTGGGCAAGCCGCAGTTGCTTAAGCGACCTGTCATATATCTCCGATCACTCAATTGCATCTCTTGGATATCTAGACCTCTATATAGATATCTGGGCTCAGTTAAACGAGCAGTGTTTTCACTATAACTCAGTCATTTAACCATCAAATTGATTAGCATTGATTTGCAATGTTCTGCATGAGACGACACATAAATTGACTAATTGAATTAGTTATATATCTACAATTTTGTGGTTACGATAAATTAACCATCATCATCACTAATTTGATTGTTGTATAATGATCTGCCATCAGTCATAATCAGATCACATATAATTGCTGTAAGATAATAAATGATATAAGAAATTTCACCTAAGCTTTGTTTTAAATCAAACTATCTAAACCATATGTAAAGTTATCTTTTGTAAGCTTATTACATTATTTAAATTAAATGAAATTTGCAATAAATGATATTTAAATTTTAATTTATAAAAAAAAATTAATTAATATTTTCACTAAATTTAGATAGGTTGACATGACAATTCTTTAGATCTCTGAAGCAAGATCAGTCATATAATTTTTATAATCATATGAGATGCATCCAAAAGTAACAATACTTTCACAACACTAAGTATTATGATAGGCGCGCCAATAGATGTTTGTTTGGTCAATGATGGGGTGTAGTTAAATTTTTTTATTGTATAAACATTACAATGAATATTGTTTATGATAACTATGCCTTTTATAATATTTTTTTGTTGTGTTTTGATATATTTACATGAGCACTAGAAATTAAATATATATATATATATATATTATTGTCAAAAGTCGCTCTACAGAGGTGGGAACATGAATAAATAAAATGTATATAGTTGGCTTCTCCTGTGTGTGCTATGCTAGCATACACCTACAAAATATGATTCATCACACGTTGCAAGCTATATGTATACTCGTATATACTAATGACTATTTTATGAGGCGAAGTATGCACTTTTTTAGCTTTTGAATATATTTTTTAAGATTAAAAAATGTGCATCAAACTAAAACTTGAGCACTAGTCTCAGCATATTATTAGATTTAGGACTAAAAAAAAAAAAAAAAAAAAAAAAAAAAAGGCAAGGACAACGAGCAAATAGCTCATGTCTCATAAAAGTAGATGCATATTTTTGTACCAACTTATGATCGCATTGAACATATGTGAAGCCCGACATCTTTTTTTACTTTTATTCATGTGTATTGCAAATTCTGACCTTTTTCTATTATTTATTCATATTTGTTTAATAAATTTGCTGATTTTATAGCTTACTTAAGGGTAAGTTGTTGTCTGAAACCAATTGAAATATAACAAGCTTGCTGAAAAAAATATATTTTCTACAAAATTAATTAAAATGATAAGAAACACTAAAATCCATAAGTGAAAATCATTTTTTATAAAACAAATATTTTATTATTGCATGATCCTTGAGCCATTTTTTCAAATAAAATGAACAAAATCACTTGTGTTTATGTGGATACATAAATCACAAGTTGAGCCCCTTATACCTTCTTATAAGGGAGAATCAATTATTAGCTTTAACGATGGATGATTCACGACAGAATGACATGGCATAAATCCAAAAACATATTATCATTCATGTCCTATAAAGTATACATGGTCCTTTACACTTAGATTCATGATTTAAATTTTCCTAGGTGGTGTTTTAGAATGATATAGGTTGTATTTGTATGTTTATTGATCCAGATAGGAACGTAAAGCCAATTCAAATTGTATGGCCCTTATGTTTAAACTATCTTATCCTTCTTCTGTAAGCATCCTCTCATAGTCTAAGAGAAACAAGCTTTGTCAATTTACAAATCCATCTAATAAATTTCTGTTTAGAAGTTTAAGTTTATTTCTTCGGTTTGAGTCATGAGGGCCCTCTAGAGGACACAGTTCATGACTATTGACAGAACGTTGATGTGTTGTTAATTTTGCATTTGTTGTTATATGTATTTCCGAATTTTATATGATGATATTGTACTTTGAGGAAGGTTTTTGTTGTTTTTGTTTGTGATAGCAGGAAAGGAGAATTTCAGGGATCAAATTGAAACATAATGGAGATTGGAGCAAAAATAAACTATTGGACGCTTAGGAGCTTGAATATTAGCATTTAGGCGCTATAAACCTCTAAATTTGTTAAGCAACAAACTCGAGAGCTTGACGCCTAGGAGCCTGAAACTGAAATTGACAGTTGGAGCAGTTCAAACTTCAAGATAATGGGGAGAAAACATAAAAGTGAGGGAGACGAATTCATAAGGTGTTTTTTGATTTGTTCTCTTCTTTCCTTACAAGGGAAGAAAATTTTGGAGGAGAAGGCTACACATCTAACGAGGAGGTTAAAAGTTCTAAAGCAAGATCAAAGAGAGTTTGTGAGATTGAGAGATTGTGAGTGTGCTTGTAATTCATTTGCATTTGTTGGACTTAAGGGAGATAAGTATTCTGAGTTTTTGTTTGTTCTTCTTTAAGAGACAATTCTGAGACCCTTGCATATGAGTTTTACTTTTAAGTTAATGTTGATGAAATTTGGCAAGCATAGTGGGTAGATTTTTTATGTTCTCCTTTGTTGTGGAAGTGTAGGGATAAGGGCTAAGCAAGTTGCAAGTTGCAAGTTGGTGTGAATTTTGTGTGAAATTTATAAATGGTTTTCGAACAACCTAGGAACTCATAGACTTTTAACTTGGCCAGTTAATTTGTTAAAATTAATCGTGATTATACAAATTTCGGGAGGAATCTATAAGGAACGATTAAATTATCCACACAAGCTCATTGGAATAGGAATATCGCCTTTGAATTCATGCAAATTGACTAGGGAGCAAGGTTGTCTTGGATTTTTCATTTGATTTAGAAAACTAAAAGAATGAATTGTTAACCTTTCTTAGACTACCAGACAGAGATAAGAAAGATTTTGCTATTCTCTCATTTGACACCTTTAATGAATCTTTTGCTAAGTTGAATCCCTACATAACCACTTCAAATGAGAAATTTTGGGAAATATCTTAATTATCATGACTTTCTATTAATTGTTTTAGAACTTAGGTTTTGCTCAGGTGGTGTTTTAGAATGATATAGGTTGTATTTGTATGTTTATTGATCCAGATAGGAACGTAAAGCCAATTCAAATTGTATGGCCCTTATGTTTAAACTATCTTATCCTTCTTCTGTAAGCATCCTCTCATAGTCTAAGAGAAACAAGCTTTGTCAATTTACAAATCCATCTAATAAATTTCTGTTTAGAAGTTTAAGTTTATTTCTTCGGTTTGAGTCATGAGGGCCCTCTAGAGGACACAGTTCATGACTATTGACAGAACGTTGATGTGTTGTTAATTTTGCATTTGTTGTTATATGTATTTCCGAATTTTATATGATGATATTGTACTTTGAGGAAGGTTTTTGTTGTTTTTGTTTGTGATAGCAGGAAAGGAGAATTTCAGGGATCAAATTGAAACATAATGGAGATTGGAGCAAAAATAAACTATTGGACGCTTAGGAGCTTGAATATTAGCATTTAGGCGCTATAAACCTCTAAATTTGTTAAGCAACAAACTCGAGAGCTTGACGCCTAGGAGCCTGAAACTGAAATTGACAGTTGGAGCAGTTCAAACTTCAAGATAATGGGGAGAAAACATAAAAGTGAGGGAGACGAATTCATAAGGTGTTTTTTGATTTGTTCTCTTCTTTCCTTACAAGGGAAGAAAATTTTGGAGGAGAAGGCTACACATCTAACGAGGAGGTTAAAAGTTCTAAAGCAAGATCAAAGAGAGTTTGTGAGATTGAGAGATTGTGAGTGTGCTTGTAATTCATTTGCATTTGTTGGACTTAAGGGAGATAAGTATTCTGAGTTTTTGTTTGTTCTTCTTTAAGAGACAATTCTGAGACCCTTGCATATGAGTTTTACTTTTAAGTTAATGTTGATGAAATTTGGCAAGCATAGTGGGTAGATTTTTTATGTTCTCCTTTGTTGTGGAAGTGTAGGGATAAGGGCTAAGCAAGTTGCAAGTTGCAAGTTGGTGTGAATTTTGTGTGAAATTTATAAATGGTTTTCGAACAACCTAGGAACTCATAGACTTTTAACTTGGCCAGTTAATTTGTTAAAATTAATCGTGATTATACAAATTTCGGGAGGAATCTATAAGGAACGATTAAATTATCCACACAAGCTCATTGGAATAGGAATATCGCCTTTGAATTCATGCAAATTGACTAGGGAGCAAGGTTGTCTTGGATTTTTCATTTGATTTAGAAAACTAAAAGAATGAATTGTTAACCTTTCTTAGACTACCAGACAGAGATAAGAAAGATTTTGCTATTCTCTCATTTGACACCTTTAATGAATCTTTTGCTAAGTTGAATCCCTACATAACCACTTCAAATGAGAAATTTTGGGAAATATCTTAATTATCATGACTTTCTATTAATTGTTTTAGAACTTAGGTTTTGCTCATTTTCAAAAATTTGGGTAAGAACTTTTATTAAACTTCAAAACTTCAACCTTTCAGGCTAGAATTTTTCCTAATTGAGTTTATCTTGTTCTCTGCAAAATCGACAACCGGACTCCAATATGAAGACAAGTTTTTTTTATGTTGCCCATATGCATGCATGTCACAGCTTGTTGAGGAGCCCGTTTCAATTCAACTGACATGCCCACACATGATGGTTTCATCAAAAGGTATTCTTTTACCATTAATAAATAGTCTATATCACGTGTACCAATGACTCCAAAGCAAATTCTTGAAGATCAAATGAGGTTGCAAAGAGAGAGAAAAAAAAAGAAGAAATAGAGTGAGGCAAAACATGTGAGAAAAAAATAAAGAAAATGGAATGAGAAAATTTATGTCAAGAACTATTCTTGTATCATGAAAAAAGTAATATCATTCATGTCAAATGTATCAAGAAATCATACTCAAAGTAGGAACTATATAGTGCCTTAAAGAATAAAGAAAATTAAATAGTGTGATTGAGAAATAAAAATAACATAAGAAAATTATAATTTCAATAGCCAAATGATATGCAAAATAAACATTCCAAAAATATAATTCAATCTTAAATTTCTTAATGAATCATCTCCAAATCAAATACAAGTAAAATAAAAGGAGAAACAAACCTGTGCATCAAGTAGTATATATCTTTCAGAAGTAACCCTTAATTCAATGCCGGAAGTGCAATGTTTTGCCATCGCTCTAACTTCATCAGATTGTGTTGTAAAAGGTGGCAACATTCCTGCCAAAGCATTGATTGCATGGAGCTTGTTAAATCAAAACAGAATATGCTGCTAAAATATAAAGTAAACCCTAGTTTTAGTAGGAGTTTGTGTTTTTATGTAAGAGAAGAAAAAAAAAGAAAAAAAAATCAAGCTGAAATTGAGCAATTATTACCTGAAATGCCAGCTATCTATTTAGTTATTTAGTCAATAGTCTTATAATGGCAAATTAATCAATCATTAGTGGCTTTTTGTGGAAAAAATAACCACAATTATCTTTTAATTTGCATAATAATTATTAATTTATCATCCACCGTCGAAAACATAAATACCATACAATAATTAATTCTTATAAATTAAATTTGTAGGCTGCCAAATAAAATTATATATTAAATGAAGAAATTAGTGAGTTACATAAATAAACAATAAATCAACATAAATTTAGAAATTACCATAACATTTGCAAGCTCAATAGCATATTAGATCAATAAGTTTGATGATTTGATTGCATTTTTATATATATTCCCTTATGATTGCATCAGCTTATATGTTCGGCTATTCATATGGATTAATCCTGCTCAATGCTTAAATTGTAAGCTTCTCACTCGGCCTATTAAAATACATAACAAAATAGGCTCTTAATCTTGCAACAAACACAACAAACCTTACATTCATACCCTTAGAACATTCTTTTATTGTCCTTTCTATTAGTAAAAAAATTAAACATCTATGCCTAAGTTCTCGATCATTAAATCAAGTGGTTACCACCTAATCTTACGATATTAGCACGTATTAGCTATATAATTCACTTACAACATTGATAGTAATTTCATAAAAATAAAATAAAAAATATCATTTGGGGAGTTTTACGTTTCGACATTTTTTATGAACTTTTACGTTATTTATGACAACAGATGTTAAGTTTCCTCTTACCTCTTGCAATGAGGTAAATCAGTATGATTTAGTAGAAATGAAACAAATTTAATTTTTTCAGGATCACCTCAATCTTGTTGGCTTGAAATATAATAAAAATGAATGATTTGATGATCGGTAATTATTTTAAATAGCATTGTATTTTTAAAGCAATGTAACATTAAACCAAATACATAACATTTGAAAGATAGCACTGCTATATGAGTTGCATTGCTATTTAGACAAATGTGTTATTTAAATAACATTAAACCAAACAAACCTCGAATCCTATTTTAATGGCATCAGACATCGCAAAATTTGCCAACATGTAGATGCTAGCTAGGCTATTTGCTGACTAAAACAAAATAAAATAAATAATAAGATCGTAATAATCATTGACCTTTCCAGTTTCTATCGTACTGATTAAGTAAAACAAAGATTGAATCAAACACAACTTATTCTATTCATAATGATAATATCAGCATAAAATTGAACCAAACATACTGCAAAACAAAACCCAAACAAGATATCAAAAGAAGATAAGAATCATCTTGAAAAAGGTACCTGGAGAATTTCCATCAAAGCCATACAATTCATTCATGATTGTCGACTTGCCTACCCCAGGCGGTCCAATAATGCCAATGACAGTAAAATCCATATTCTCGTTAAGAAACTGTATTTTATATAATTTAAAAGAAAAATGATCATTAGGAGCGATCCAAGGATTAGGGTTTTTGAATTCAAACCAAATCACAGGAAAAAAGTACAAGAATACCGGAAGAATCCGATCGATGTGGACGTCCCATGATTCAGAAATAAGGCTGAGCGATCCCGGCTGCGGGGCATTGCGAGAACGGATGACGACAGCGGAGGGATCGTCGTCGCGAGCTAACCTAGAGGAAGCGGCTCCGGAAGCGGGCTTGGCGAGCAGAATCTTCTGCGGAGGCGGAGCTGGAGGGAGGCCCGACGAAGAGGATGCTAGACCCATGGAGGAGCTTGACGAAGCAGTGGTAGTCTGCGCACCGACGCCAGCCATTGAAAACAAATGCTCGCCACCGTACTGCGTAGCCGAGCCAGGGAAAAAGAAGTATCAATGTAGAATGAATATTCAATACAATTTGAACACTACAAGTGAAAAGGAGTACCTTAGACATAGAATGAACACAATTTGAAGCTATTTTATTTCTAAAAAAATTGTATATCCATCATAAAAATGTTTTATCATTCCTATCATTATATTTTATTGTCAATTTCATGAAAAATGAAGTAAAATTTCTTCTAATTATGCTTCCCGAGTTTGACCAACATTTGGGGAACTCAAAAAGTTCATGCAAGAGATTATCAAATTCCGATTAATACGTGGGAAACTCGAATTGGCCCATCCGCGGTGGTTCCACCCAAGCGGCAAAACGGACAAAGAAAAAAATTCCTAAGAAACTGGCAACGTTAGGTGATGTTCGATTGGTAAAATTTGTAACAAATCGATAATGATGCTTGGCTTCTAATCAAAAAGTATACAAGATCTGACCCACTATACTATTGTATCATAAAAATCCATATCTCATGGCTCAAAATAGGACAAGCTATTACGTCAATACTCTTTACATAGTAGCGATAAGATTTGTGATACGCTATGAAGACTGTAATAATATCAGTTTAACAAATCTGGTATAAATCTAAGGCAATGACCTAATAGAGCTACTAAGAAATTGACGATGTAAGATTTGAGTCTGGAGATAACTCGGTGAACCAAACAGAAAAACTCTTTTACATGCCTAACTAGTCATCCTCTCGTTCTCTTATTATTACGCACTCATAGGTCCTGGTGCGACCCATCTGAGAACTTTTAGATGACATAAAAAAATATTGTCCTCTAGATGAGGTTTAGTTAATATGTTGCAATTTCAAAAAAAATTAGTTGATATGGAGTAGAATAAATGAGTTATGAACCTTACGAGCTTTTTGCATCCTGAACCATTTTAGGTGTCGGTCAACCCATCGTTTCAATAGTTTTAGAATGAGTGGTCATGCAGGTCTTCTTCTTAGTCGAGTGAACATCAATAGTTTCCTTCCTCTCAGTCTCAAAGAAATTGAAGGCTTTTCAATCCTCTTTGTTTATCTTCCTTAAGGAGCTTGGCCACAACATCTAATTGACAAGCTTCAACTGAAGATATTGGTGGATAGACACTTATTAACCCTTGACTTTAGAGTCATCTAACAACACCATGGCTAACACTTTCCACTTCATTTTTATCGTGATTCCTCATATGGTACTGTCTAGATGTATCATCCATGTGTGGAGGAACCAAGACATAAACAAAGCTTCTAGTCCTTCACTTTGTTCTCCAGCCCCAATAGATGGAATTTGCTGGTCAAAGAAAATATAACAAACCCGTCAGAATATACCTGGAAGGAGAACAAATAACTGAAGAGTTTGATAAACCACGAGATCTTTAACCACCAACAAAACATGATGTAGGTCGTGATGACTACGATAGAGTTGGTTTTTATATGGGCAGAGATGACGCCTTAGTCGGAGAAGAAGGAACACAAAATAGTAGTTGGAGAGAACTAACATTGATCTCCTTAGAACTATAGGTTGGCATTGTAAAGAGAAGTAGCTCGATCATCCATCCTAACAACCCGGAGCTTGATAGTAGGATAAAAGACACAAGTTTCTTGTTGGAAGTCAACTTCAGCCTGAGACATCCAAGATCAGTTGCTCTGGGGTACCGATCCAAAATCTTGAGTAGAGTATCAAGGAGCCATTAAAGCAAATCAGAAAGAGAAAGGATGAAAGGCAAATGAAGTGCGATCTCAAGAAGCATGCACCGTTCATATATATATATATATATATATATATAT